GGGGGGGGGGGGAGTTCACACCCATTAAGCAGGAGGAACAGCCACCCTCTGCGAGAGAGGGGGTGGGGTCCTGGGAGGCCTGGCCAGCCCTCCCTCCCAGACTCTCTACCTGGAAGGCAGCATTTGGGGCAAGAAAAGGGCCTCAGAAGCACACCAGCGAAACTGGAAGGCAGGGGTCAGAGGTGGGCAAAGTACAGCTGGTGGCCTGTCTTCCTACAGCCCACAAGCTAAGAATGGCTTGTGCGTGTTTAAAGTGTTGCTTTAAAAAATGTGATCGAGACCACGTGTCCCACAAAGCCTAAAATATTTATAATCTGGCCCTTTACAGAAAAAAATTTGCCGACCCCTGCTGTGAGGAATGACAAGAGGCGGAGGTGGGGAGCTGGGTGAGCTCCAGAGGTGGCAAGAGAGGGGCCCATAAAGCCAGAGGCGGGCAGAGGAGTGTGGACAAAGGATGCTGGTGTCTGAGCTCCGGCTCATCAAATCCCAGTTGGCCGGGGGCTCAGAGGGCAGGGAAGAGTTGGTACACAGAGGCTTTCCTGCAGCTGCGTCCTTTCTTCCCAGGGCCTGGGGACAGCCCCTGCCCCGGTGTGATGGCTGCTAGAACAGGAGGCAGGGTAATGGCTATGCAAAGAGCAGTCTGAGCTCAGGAGGAGCCGAGGGGTGCGGGGCCCGCGGGCTCCCGCTTCTGTTCAAGCCACAGCAGAACCAATTCCCTCCACTCTCCTAATTTGCATCAGTGCCACCGCATCCGTCCGGAAACAAACCACCACCTGGAAGCCAGGAGGCTCTGCTGGGCATCTTGTCGCCTGCAGGCACCAGCTGGATCCCCAAGGGTCCTTGGATGGGGGAGAGCCCCAGCAGAGGCACTGCCTGGATTTGCCGAGTAGAGTCACAGGCAGCACGCGCTCCCGGGCCGGGGCCACAGGCCACTTGCACGGATATGGGAAGCTGGCGAGGCGGGGCCTCTTCTGTCGGGGTGCCTCTGCCATGGCCAGTACTCCTGTCTGCCCTGGAGGCCTGGAGTCTCAGCTGGAGAGGCAGGATGCTTGGAGGGACCTGCCCTGCTTGTCCTCAGAATCCCCACATCTTGCCAATGAGCTGGGCTTTGACCTTGGCCTTCCCTTTCCTCCTCCCTTTCTCCTCTCCCAGGCTTAGTGCTGGTCTCTTGCTCCATGAAAAGTGCTCCCAGGAAGACCTGGGTGATGGGAATAATCCCCAGGGCCTGGAAGGAAGGTCATGTTAGGCCGGAGGAGGCGACTGATACCAGGGACAAAAGCCCAGGTCTGCCCTGGGCTCTGAGAGTCCAGATGCCCAGAGTGATGGCAGAGAGAGAGAGCCCTGGGTAGGGGCCCTACCTGTGAGGGGGGTTCGGGGCAGCGCGTGGTTGGGGGGAATGAGGGATGGCTAAGATACCCACGGTGTGTGGTTACTTCCCAGACCCGTACACTTGAAAGGCTCTGATTGAGAAAGTACGGTTTCCAAAGCTTTGGGGGGAACATCTGAGGTTTGTCCTCAGGGGATGGGTCACTCTGGGAGCTGGAGGACAGGTGGCTGTAGAAGGTCAGAGAGGCAGAGGACAGGGCTGATGGCAGGGACAGAGGAAGTGAGAGGGAGGGAGGAAGCGTGGGGCGGGA